AGCCATGATGGTTTTTAGTGAAAGCACTCCTCTGTCCTGCTTTGCTTTGTTTCAACTCCTCTCCAGTGAGCTGACCTTGTCTCTGAAGGCTCTTAGTTCACTAAGGCCTTTTTTTACACATTGATTTTGTCACCTTTTCTGGAAATGAATTTTTTCAATCTCATATTTTATTTGAAAACTGTAATTTGCAAGTACTTTAGTTAAGAATCATCCCAGACTTCGATTTATTCCCTTATACACTTATTATTTTCTGCACTCCTCTGCTTTTCTCCACTGTCTGCATTCCTTTACCTTTCTTTAGAGCTTTTGTTAATTCTTTCAGCTTTTGGTTGAAGCATAAGAATCTACTTGAGTAAGACCTCATTTTGCTCCCATATTTCAACATCCTTTTCTTTTCTTTTTTGACTGGAACTACATTTCTTATATTATAGTCTTTGTTCCAAAAGCTTGTGCATGACTTCCTTTTATTTGTCATTTAATTAAGATGGAAGGAAAAATTCCACTTTAAGAGATAGACCATATGACTACTTTTAGTAGTTTCTACTGAGAAGAATGTTTGCCTTATTGTTTCTAGAACTTTCAAAATACTTAGTTCTTTGAATAGCATAGGTAATCCAGATTTAGGAGGCTTCCTCCCCCAGCCCCCAGAATGGCGATTTTTGGCTATATGGAAGGATTTATAAAGATAAGAGGGAAGGGAACATTTGGGATACCATTTTACTTTGTTTGTCAAGTTCTGAGAAAGACTATTTGGAGTGAAGTATGAAATGACTCAAAGATTATTTTGACTGAATCAAGAATATAGACTCTCTAAATTACAAATCATTATCATCATCATCATCACCACCACAAAACAGAAAATACATTACTTTTCCTCCTAAAATATTTAAAGAGAAAAGCAGCCATAGCAGAAAAATGGCCTTAGAAGAACATGGCAATTTACATCTGCTACCAAGAAAAACACACATGAAATTATGTCCAGTAAGTGCTTTCAGAGATCCCAAAAGCTGGCCCCCTTTCCTGAAAGGTTTTGCCTTGCACTGACATTCTGCCCCTTTCTAAATATGGCACAGCCCTGAAGCAATAAACGTACTCTTCACCCAACAACGGCAGTAACAACAAAGACAATTGCATAAAAGATCTTTAAAATTTTTATTTGTTTTGTTTTGTTTGTTTTATTAACAACTTCAAGAAGGCACATGGCCCCCAGAGAAGCTGACCAAAGACTTGGTCCTCTAGCTATGTGGTGTTACTTGAAGTTGCTTCTCAGGGCAACACAGACAACTTAAATATGTATACTTAGGGATGAAAGACACTCCTTTCTGACTTTAAAGAAAATATACAGGGATTTGGGAGAAGGCACATGAGGCTTTTCAAGGTGCCACCAGCCTTTCTCAGTCAAACATCCCAAATGAGAAAACATGGAGGCCAGCAAGGGCAGGTGCAGGAAAGGCAATGATAAGGAGGGCTGGCAAAAGTAAACCCTCAGTGAATTCAGCCCCAAGAAAGTGGATTTCCTACAGTGTAAGGAAAGACTTGTTTAGGCTTAGTTTAATAAATGATAAAGAGACACAAACTAGTGGCCATCTTACCATTGATGATTTCTTAAGAGTCTTTAGAGTATGTAATTCAATTTAAACTTGGAGGCCCTGTGCTGTAGGGCGGACAGGAAATCCACCTTGGGTAGGTGTGAAGTATCTTTTCCACACTCGCTGAGGGATCTGGCGGGGACCAGGCATCTTAAGAAGCACTAGGATCACTGGAGGCCCTTGCCATCATTACTCCACATGAGTAAGTCCCAAACGGCATTTCTAGAAAAGAGGGGCTCTTCAGCAAAGATGCAGCCTTCCCGAGCCATACATAGCGAGGGTACTGCAGGATGACATCCTTGCTGCTTCTGGGAGAACAGATCTCTTTAGTCTGGAAAATACAAGTTACCTCAAACTCTCCTCTCCTCATGGGTTTATTTGGAACTAAAGCTTGGAAGTCCAATCCCCAAGTCTTTCCTGAGGTAAAGACATGTAAGCCAGACAAAATGGGAAAGGGAAAGGGAAAGGGAAAAATACAGAGAGAGAACATAAGTCGACATTTCTCAAAAGTGTCTCTCACCAAATTCCTTTCATCTTAGTGTCTATTTTGGAGTTGAGGAAACTGGGACAGGGGCACAATGACTGAGGGCATACAACCAGTTACTGACAGAGCTGGCCTTCTGCTATATCCTGTGTCTCTTTGTTTTTCTAATTTCCAACCTCTGTTCTATTCGAAATTGCTCTTGTTAGTTGGCACTTGTGTTTCTGCACCTAGAGTTTTAGACATATTTGGAAACTTCTTTTAAATATGTTGATCCACTCAGGGCTAAATTATCTGTGACAGCAAGAATAACTCCACCTTGGGGCATATCCAGCAGGATGAAGGATTCAGGGATAAATCATGTAGTGTTCCATTCTTCCTGGCTCTCGATGTTTTCACACAGGAGAAATCAGCTTCCCGGGAGCACAAAGGCCTCAAAAGGCCATCCTAACGGTGTCTGTGGAGGGAGGAAGTCAAAGTCCACAGACATCTAGGGTGACCTTGGGGAACCTGATTCCTCTCATGGCGATGATGTATGTGGAGCGGGTGATTTGGGAGGGACAGGTTAATGAGTTATTTGCATGTAGTTAAGTCTTGGGTCCTTAGCATCAGCAGGCAAGGCCATGTCCTCCCACCTCCCCTGAGAGTCACTGTTCACCTGCATCTAGGCAAGGAGGGGAAGAGAGAGCTGTATTGCATCTAATTTTGAGAGTAATCATGACTGTATCAGTGCACAAATGACATGTTCCAATGGGCGGTGCAGGAGTGTGCAGGATTGTTCAGCTATCTCGTATGATACAAGCATGGTCTAATACTTCCTCATATTCTTTCTTCTAATAATGAATTGCAGAGAACGAAATGTACTGTTGTGCTTTATAATTCAGATAGACAATACAGGTATTGGCTAACATGGTTTGACATGATCGGCTGCCTTTTTTTTTTTTTTTAAGTCAATCTGGCAGAAAAGCACTAGATGTATTGTGGGAGTTGTACTGGCCCTTCCAACAGTCCATTAATCAGCAGCAAGATAGCCAAGGGACCACGTTACTTCGCTGTAGCACAAAAAGGTTGTGGTTGTGAGTGGGCTGAGTGGGAACAAAGTTGTATCATTCCAGTTCTGATTGATTAATGCTGAAGTCACTGCTAAATAATGATTACCAGCCCCAGTCTCCACAAATCATTCACTGGGTGAAGGAGGACTCAGTTAAACAAACTTGGGCCAGTCAACACAGATTTTTCTTGTGGTGGGGGTGGGGTGTCGAGGGTGGAGTGGGGCAGAAGTGTGGAGACGGGAAGGGGGAAGAAAACTGGATCTCTTTGAATAAGCAAAAAGAACTGCAGCTGGGGTTCTCATGGTCCCTTGGGCACTTCCCTTCCTCGTACTGTGGCCTTCTCCCAGCCTCTACACTGCAGTTCTCCACTGTCAGATTAACTCTGAATGCTACCATCATGAGTCTGGTCCTCTAGCACACTTGGGCCCCTCCTTCCAGATTCCCACAACCAGCCAGATGGAGTTACTACCAACTCCAATGACTTAACCCTCCCCTATCTAAGGCTTTCCTGCCCAAATTCCCCAACTCCCCCTAATTCCTCCCCATTACTTGTTTCTGGCAAAGTACATTCCATAGTGTTCCTCTTGTCCTTTTCTCCCTGTATCTCTTTTTCATGGCTTGCATGCCCAAGTATGCTCATGCATGGAAAGATAACATTCTTCTACTTAGGTTAGATGACCTTTTCAAAAATGTTTGGTGTATTTCCACTAATCCTGGACATAGAGTACATAGGAGATTAGAGTCACAAGAATGTTTTGGATAATATGAAGTTTAAATCTTGCTTTTCTGTGTGTAGTTCTTTGAGACATATCCAGGAAACTAATGGGGAGAAAAATTTTAAGTTTTGCGTGAGCTCTGGTTGCTTTGGTGTCAGCAACCTCTAACGCTGCATCTTGCCATCCACTTGGTAGAAGGTGCTTCCTGAAGATGCACTTTTGTGAAGTCAGAACCAGCGTAGACTGAGCCAAATCCTGATTAAAATTTTTGCTGGCTGCTCCTTATGCCAGCAGAATCCTGTGTCTCCACTTGTTGGAAATATATCTGCCTGTCAATGTAAGAGAATGCCAGTGCCTTTTCGATATTACAAACTCACAGTGTTCCTCTTCAAGAATGCCAGCATTCATAATTTTTAAGCCTCAAACTTTCAAGAAATGGAAGCAATTGAATTTCTCTGCATTTTAAAGTAGAAATGGTAATATTACATAGCTAGAAATTTCTATAAAGTATGGATTGGCAATAACATTATTTATGCTTTCAAAAATGGGTTCCTACTAAATTTATGCCTGTATCTCAGTCACAAGCTATGTTTCCAATACATTCTTTAACTTCAACCTACTTTTTTTCTTATCCCAGAAACTCTGAATGATTGCTCTGCTGCAGAATTCACAGAAGTTTGAACTGAAATGAAATGTTTCAAAACTCAGGTAGACTTAAATGACAATGTATTGCTGTGAAGAAAACACTCTCAGTTGTAACATCTCTTACAGGAAAAGTTTTTAGACTTTCTAGATATGACAAAGATTTATGAGGTATGATTTCACAAGGAGAAAAAGCATTTTGGTGGGAATTCTTTTTTGTAAGTAAAATAGGAAATCACAAGAGTTAAATAAATAGATGAACTTCTGTGGAAATCATCTGTTAACTTAATTGAACAAATGAACTCCATTAAACTCTAGAAAACCAAACACACATTTGTTAGTTTCTAGTAATTTTTAAAATTTTTCCTACAGAGTTGTTGTGGGATTTATTATTTTGAAAACATGCTATTTTAACAATGGGTTGTCAACAACTTGATCCTAGTAAAATGGTAGAATAAAATGGTAGAAAGGGTGATTAGATACCAGATGGCTTGGGTTTCCCTCTCATGCTGCTACTCACCAGGTTTGTGACAATGGCCATTTCTCTTCAATACTTTGAACCTCCATCTTCTCATCTGTTCAACAAGAATAAGAAATACCTGAACCCCCTATCTCTTAACACTGTTGTGAGGATCAAACAAGGTCCTAGTTGTTAAATCATTTTGAAACTATAAAGTGCTATATAATCTGAGGTATTCCATTCGTTATCACCTCAGAATTCCTCTCAGATTATATTGCCTCAAATGCATTATTTAGGAAAAGTACAAACTTGAATGCCATATGGAGTCCTTGTTGACACTGCAGATGTTGGTTAATTTTAGATTCTAAAAGAACAAAAGAACAGAAGCACTACCAAGCAAATTAGCCTCTCTTTAGCTTTTTCTTCGAAATCTCCTATTATACAAACACCAAACTAAAAATGGCAGGCTAAATATTATAGAAAATTACATCATTTGAGGCATTGAAATTCTGTATATCCAAGCCCTTTTGCAGAACACAAATTTATTCCCTCTAAAGAACATTGCCAATGAATTTAATGTTATAAGATAAATTATGTTTATTTCTTCAAGGACTAAGTAAAAGAATTTTAATCTTTAACTTTAAATAACACAATGCCAGGGAAAATGTAAAAGTCTTAGAAGAGTCACAAAAAGGTATGAAATCCATGTTGGTGGTCATAGTCTCTCTCAAACTAACAGAAAACTAAACTAAGCTCAGCCAGCCTTGTGCTCTGATTTTGAAAACCATATTTACAAGTAGGGATTTCTCTGTAGAACAGGTGTGACAGACGTGTACATGACAACTGCTTTTACAGCTCCATTAGTTTGGGAAGACCTGTCCTGATGGGCCTCATGTGTACCATCTGTAAGACATCTCTTTGCACCTTGTCAAATCCAATGTCCTCCTTACACATGCATAAGCAGGAGGTGTAAAGCAGGAGGTATACTTTGTAAAGTATATGGATGGTATCTGTCATTCTTTTTGTTTGCACACAACCCACTAACAAAAAATATTTTGGAACAAGCTGAGCATTTTGTGTCTTGAAATTGTACTTACTTATTTAATTTATATTTATTACCTATAAATATATATATATTTATAATGGAAGCAATGAAACAAAAAATGCTTCCTATCAGATCATATCCATTAGATGACCTGAAGCAATTTAAAAATGGTCCTGTGAATATTCTAAGCCTAGATTTTTTTAAAAAATTGAAGCATAGTTGACACACAATGTTACATTAGTTTCAGGGGTGCAACACAGTGATTTAACAAGTCTATACATTACGTTACGCTCCCCACAAGTGTAGCTACCATCTGTCACCATACAATGCTATTACAATACCATTGACAACATTCCCTAAGCTGAGCCTAGATCTTCAATACATTTTTCCAGAAAACTGTTAAGTTTTAGCACCTTAAGATACTGACACAATGTCACACTAATTAGAAATAATTTTCAGAGACCATAAATGCTTCACCTATAAAATATGTGTTCCTCTAAAGGAGGCAAAATTTTCAAAAAATGTTTCAACTTATATTTTAATAATTTGGTCAATACTATGCGATATGATATTTCAAAGTGTGTTCTGATGTGGACTGGAAATATTAAAAGCAAATCCAAGGAGTAGATTTTATAACACTGCTTATTATGGAGGCTGTCTAGGCTGATTATTTTAGTATTAACTATACTATTAATCGCCTCCCTGTCCTGCCCATATGCTACCTCTTTTAGCACAGAAGTCCTAATAAGACAGGTGCAACTTGATTCCATGTTACATAGTTTTCTCAAACTGGAACAAATATTAACCCCCCTTCCAAAATATTTTTCCCTTGTGAAGAACTTTGGATTACTGCAGATGATTACAGACCTGAACCAGAAATGGATTCAAATAACTTTCATTCACTGCTGAAACTGAACTGGGACTGACCCCCAAAATAAATTGGCTTAATTCCCTGTAAGAGCAATATGAATCAGGTTGCCATCTGTTCCCTTCCTTCTTTAACTTCACCAGTGGGCTGGGTTTAAGCAAAGAACTGGAGGAGTCCTTGGAGGAAAGGGAGGAGGACTCTGGCTTGGTATTTAGATGGGTATGCTGCAATGGTAGAGTCACTCCAAGTGCAAGAAGAAAGGAGTCTGGGGATTAGCTAGGGAAATCATGTAATTTGTCAAACCATGGGAACAACATGAGTTGAATTTGCCTAATTTTGTCAGAAGATATTGCATCAACTAAAAGTCCTTTGCATGCCAAAGATGAAAAATGTAATCCAAACTAACTTAATTAAAAAGGTAAATTTATTGGTTCATGTAACTGAAAAATTTAGAGGATCTGGCTCAGGTGAAGTTTGATCTAGGGCTCAAACAGGGTGACCTAGGACTTGATTTCTCTCTCTTCTTTTCTAAATTCAGCATCTTCAATATTGGCTCCATTCTTTTTTTTTTAATTTTTTTTATTAATTTTATTTTGTTCGTCATCATACATTACACCATTAGTTTTTGATGTAGTGTTCCATGATGCATTGTTTGCGTATAACACCCAGTGCTCCATGCAATACGTGCCCTCCTTACTTCTCATCACCAGGCTAACCCATCCCCCCACCCCCACCCCCTCTAAAACCCTCAGTTTGTTTCTCAGAGTCCATAGTCTCTCATGGTTCGTCTCCTTCTCTGATTTCCCCCCTTTCATCTTTCCCTTCCTACTATCTTTTTTTTTTTTTTTTACATATAATGTATTATTTGTTTCAGAGGTACAGGTCTGTGATTCATCAGTCTTACACAATTCACAGTGCTCACCATAGCACATACTCTCCCCAATGTCCGTCACCCGGCTATTGGCTCCATTCTTAGGCAATGTCTTCACGTACCCAGTATGGATGCAAGCCACTCCATGGAGTACTTGCCTCTAGGTTCAAATTCAGAACCAACTTTCTAGTAGGTCTAGAATGGATTACTGTGGCCAGAGGAATAGGATATACTAGATGACCTAGACTAAGGTCATATGTTTCACCCCTGAAGGAGGGGGGTGTAGACATCAGTCTTTTCCCCAAGCCCAGGGACTGAGAGTAAGGGAGGACATAGTCCCCAGAACAAAAGGAGAGTGTAGTCAGCAGAATGGATGTTCTCTACAGATACGCAAATCGGATGAACAAATAATTTCAGCAAGTATTATTTTTCACTCAATAAGGAATTCTGCTGATATAAAAAGAACAAAAATATGAATAAGATTTACTATTATTTACAGATGATACAATTGTCTACCTGGAAAGCCCAGTGCCACCCAAAATCCAAAGAGAAGTTTTTAAAAATTGACAATTGTTCTAACTCTCTTAGAATAAATAAAAAAATAAAGGAGGAGGAGGAGGGGAAGGGGGAGGGGAAGGAGAGGGAGGGGAAAGAAGGGGAGGGAGGAATAATTTTGACTATATCCTAAAGAGAGAGTCCAAGTCTTGCCAGCTAAGGGGGAAAAAAAGTAATGGCCAAAGGGAGACTGTAGAATCTTTATGTGAGACATTTTAGAAATGTAAGATAGGGGCGCCTGGGTGGTTCAGTCAGTTAAGTGTCTGCCTTCGGCTCTGGTCATAATCCCAGGGTCCTAGGATCGAGCTCCACATCAGGCTCCCTGCTCAGCAAGGAGCCTGCTTCTCCCTCTCCCTCTGCTGCTCCCCCTACTTGTGCTCTCCCTCTCCCTGTCAAATAAATAAATAAAAACGTTAAAAAAAATTTTTTTTAATAAAATTAAATTAAAAATATAAGATAATTTCAACTAGAGCTGGGACTAGACACTCTTCACAGAGATTAGACAGTTCTACAATTTGTAGTTTTTGTCATTCCCAAGGAAGAGAGCTTTAGAGCTAAAAAAAAGCTTTCTGGATGGCTATTTGCTGTACCTTGTCAACTTCATGGTTTATTTTTAATACTTTCTCTCATGCTATAATTATAAAAAAAAATAACACAAAATGAAACAAAACAAAAACAAAACACCTCCACCTACATGGAGCCAAACTAAAGAGAAGTACTATGTGGAAAGATAATTTTATGGCTGGGGTACCTTCTTCAGATATATATATATATTTGGTTTTTTTAAATGGCACTTCTCACTGCCACATCACTTGTGCATATTTCTGCATTGGTAAATGTTCTCCCAACATCTCATGTAAATTAAGTGCCCTAGGATTTTTCCATCCTGGTCTCATATACCTGGAATATAATAAATAAGAAAAAGTCTTTGGGGGGGATCATATAAAAATAGCATACTTACTATACATGGCCTGGTTATAAAGCACACTTACCAAAGCCTGTTTCACCAAAACTATAAACCTATTTTCCAGAAGCAACTATGGGAAAATGAAGAATTACTAAGAGAAATGAAAAGTGATGCTAATGAAAATGGCCAAGGAGTATTTGGCCCTGAGGCTGGGGTAGCACTATGAGCTGGCTGGCGCAGGGTACAGCCTATAGTCCTCACCTTCTAACCCATCATCCCCACCTGAGACTTCACTCTAGAGATGCTTCTATATGTTGAATGAAGAAAAATCAGAAATTTTCTACAGCCTGCAATTCATTAACTGGAGCACAATTCAGCTGCATTTTAGTCTTCTTTCTTCTTCTTTTTTTGAAACAGCATGCCAACTATGGTTGGTTGCAGGAGATGCAGATTAAATATTTTTTAAATTCCTTATTGGAAAAAATATAAAGGCATAATTGACAGGCTGAAAATGAGGAACTACTCTTGATGGAATGTGAGAGTTAATGCCTGGAAAGCTGAGGTTCTAATTTGGAAACCTAGTCACACTATCTCAGAACATTCCTTTCAAAGATTTTATTAAAGGATTTGTAAGACTCCTGAGGATTTATCCTAAGGCTATATATACCTGTAGACATATGTGCCGGGTTATACACTATAGGATTGTTTGTAATAAGTAGCAAAGACTGGACAAAGCCCAAGGATTCATCAATAGGGAAGTAGTTAAATGAACTATGGCAGATCCTGCAGTGTAATACTATGCAGCTGTTTAAACCTAGTACTGATAGGAAAGATCTCCAAGATACATTATTAGAGGGAAAAACAAGATC